AGGAGTTAGGAGGGAAGGCACAACCTGCTTTCTAGATCCCTTTCCTTCTCTCCTCCCTCTCTTTCTTTCTCCCTCTCTCTTGAGACAGACTTTAACTCTGTAGCCTAGGCTGGCCTTGGTCTCACAGTAGTCCTTCACTAGCCCCCTTAATTTAACGCTGGGATTATAGGTGCACACTACCATGCAAGGCCCACAAACTCTCTTTTCACGCACACATGCGTATGTTCAGCTAACACACACGGCAGCATGTTCCCTTATGCCACTTTCACAACTCCTGAGTTTTGGTTCATCCCCCCATGTGCTCCCTCGATGGCGCACCTCTTCGCTCTTTTCCTTCCTAACTCCCCACCCCCCTTTCATATCATGTATATTCTGGTATCTTCCCATTCCCTCCCTTAAGGCCTCATTTTTTCCTCTCTTGGGCCCCTTGCTAGTTTTCTGGCCTCTACCCAATACTTACTCCCACACAAATACACATAAATAAAAATTAGAAGCTCGGATCTGCATGAGAGAGAACAGGAGCTCTTTGTCTTCCTGAGCCCGAGTTACCTCACTTAATGCAATATTTTCCAGTTCCACTCATGTTGCCTGCAAATTTAATAAATTTCATTTTTCTTTATGGCTTGATAAAATTCCATTGTGTATACGCGCCACATTCTCATTACCCATCTATCCATCCATCTCCTGGCTATCGTGAGCAGAGCAACAGTGGACACGGATGAGCAAGCATCTCCTCTGTAGGAGGATACGGAGCCCTTTGGGTACATGCCTGCGAGCAGTACAGATGGTCAACACACACTGAGATCAGGTCTTTCTAAAAGCCTCTGGCTCCCCAGCCAGAGCTGCTACATGCAGGAGCTGACTGTTAGGGAAGGGACGGTCCACCAGGGGGCACCCTCAGGCTTCTTTGTCTCTCCCAGTAAAATTGGCCATGTTATGCTATGAGAAATAAAGGGACCTACAACTCCCCGGCCGCTCGTGTCACAGGCCATTGCACTTCCTCTCTGGGAGGTGGAGCACACAGCTATGATAGGAATGAGCCACATGGGGATGTCTTAATCTGGGAGAAGCCCCAGGCCAGATGTCTTCCTCTAGCATGCCTGGTGCCACTGACTGACTGTAGGAAGGACAGTTTTGCTGCTTGCAAAGCAGTGCCTTTGATCTCTGAACTCTTGGCTGTGTCCACACTCAGGGAATCCCCATGGGGTCTGAACTCAGTGGCCTGCCCTCCAGGAGTGAGGCACTGACCAGCCTTTCCTGCCCCAGCACTGAGCTTGCTGTTTTCTCTGGGCCTCCGCCCATAGTTTGTGAAGTAGCTCCCCTACAAGGAAGTCCTTCAGCCCACAAGCCCAGGTGTCCCTGTCACTGAATTGCATGCCATCTACATACAAGGAACATTTGCAAGTTGAGTATGCATTCACCTCTATGCAAGAACCCTGCAGCAGGTCCTGGCTCAACATTGACAGGCCCACAGATACTCTTGGGTGAGAACCCCACCTACCAAGACCAGGACAGTGAGCAGTGGCCTACCTCTCTACAGTCCAAGGGAATCTAGAGAAAGGCCATCTGCTGCTGCTGTTCGATCTGCCTAGCTTCAGCCTCCAGCAGAGCTAGTCAGTCCCTTGACGGGCAAAGACGCCATGACCAGAGGGGAAGCACAGAGCAAGGTGCACACTCACAGCCAGGCTTACATCCTGCCTATTACATCCTCTGCGGTGAGGTCACCTCTCACAGCTTGGGCATGAGGGAGGGGACAGTTACTCCAGGGCCCTGATACATCTCTAACATGGAAGGAATTGCAAGGGTTAACCCCTAAGCAGGAGTAGAAGGTTGTGATGGCTAAAGCGGACTGTCACCTTGAGAGAGTCTAGAATTATCTGTGGCCATGGCTGTAAGAGATTTCTAGGCTGGGTTCACTGAGAAGGAAAGAGGTGCCCTCTATGTACACATCGCCATCCCACAGACAGAAGAGGAGAAAGTGAGCGAAGCACCAGCATGCATCTCTCTCTGCTTCCCTACGCTGTGACGAGCTGCCTCAAGCTCCTGCCACCATGCCTTTCCCTCCCAGATACAGTGTACCTCCACACTGAAGAAACCTTTCTTTCCCTAAGTTGCCTGTGCCCGGCATTTGGCATAGCCATGAGAAAAGTGACAGATGCAAAGAGTTAAGAATCAGCTTCTTTGGAAAGAGTTCCATCGTCTCCACTCCAGAAACGGAGACTTGTGGGGTGAATGATCTGGCCAAGAGCCAGCTTGGCTTCATTACTTGGGGTTTATAGATCAGGGCTCATGAAGGAAGGAGGACATCATAGCAAATGCTAATGTCCTCAGTGGACTGTATCCTGAGAAGCCAGGCTGTTTAAACTCAGAGGCCAAGGCCACTCCCAAGGCGGGCAGAGGCTCCATGCAAGCCAGTAGGCTCAGGAGCTGGGCAGCAAAGCCTGGGAGCTTCCTTGTTCCCAGAGGGCAGTACACTCATCTCAGAGCCCAAAGGTACTCCCTGAGCATGAACACAGCTGAGGGCAATGGCTTGACTTTCTGAGGCAGGGAGATAGGTGAGCCAGGAGAACTCCCAGAGACATGGTGGGACACTCCAAGGCAGCACAGAGTCATTCTAAATATTGGGGAGTTAGACCCAGGGACAGGAGGGAGATGTAAGAGGCAGCTAAGAATCTTCCAACACTAATGTTCCACCGAGCAGCCTCAAACTGCTTGTCACTGCTGAGCCATGAATGAACCAGCTCAGGCCTCTCAACTGGTCACAAAGCCAAAATGCAAACTGGTGACAGTAAATACGGTTACTGACTCTGTCCTTGTGGTGTTAGTAAATACAGTTACTGTGTCCTGGTGACACAGTTACTGATTCCTTACTGGTGACAGCAAACATAGTTACTGACCAACTCTCCTTCCTGGTGACATAGTTACTGACTCCTTCCTGGTGACAGTAAATACAGTTACTGACTCCCTCCTGGCCCAAAGTTAAAAGGTAAGCTTGTGACCATATGGTTAGCTATCTTGAGTTTGGGGCTACTCAGAGCAGACCTGAGCAGACCCAGAGTTAAACCAATGGTAATAGAATGTGGTTAGTTACTTTTTCCATGGTTGGTCTACCAAAGTGGAGAGCCGTCTTCTTACCAAAAAGCTCAATGTCAATCCTGGGCAGAACTCAGCCTTCACACCCTCCTCAAAAGCCTCACTGGACCAAGGCTTGAGGGACCACGTTCTTCACTCCCTCACACGTGTTCATCTTGACCCCCTTCCCCAAAGCATGTCCTCCTACTTCTGCCGAATTCAAAGCTCTCTCAAACTTTTTTTTGGTCTCTGTTTCATGTTTCTGGAAAGATGCTCTGGGACAGTGTCCGTGGCCTTAGGCATCCTCACCCAGGGTGGGGTAACTATCTAGTTCTTGAGTAACAGATGGCCTGACAGTTCAGTGCTCCGATAACAGGCGGCCTCTGCATCAACCTCCAGAGGGTCTGCAGGTAAGTTGCTGGACACCTCGTGGCTTCCAGACCACTGAGCACAGTCAGTAGGATGGAGATTCAACCCAACCTTGTGCATAGTATACAGATACTTGACCACTGAACTGCATCCCCAATCCCAGGACCAATGGCCTTAATGCTGACAACCATCCTGGTGGGAAGAACATTTTGGTTTCTGAAGCCAGGTTGGGTTTGGGAGTCAACAGCCCTCTACATATCCCTCCCATAGCAACCATAAGTAGAGTGGGGTGGGGGATGGGTCACTCACAAATAGCAGCAGACACCTGTTCTCTCGGACAGCCCCGCAGCAGCCCAGGAAGCCCAGAAGAAACAGCAGACCACCCATGGCCAGTACAATGTAGGCGCCGGTGGTCAGCAGGGGGTTGGTAGCCACGATCTCTCGGAAGCCGGTGGGATCCACCAGGACCCAGATGCCAATGCCCAGCAGGCAAGCGCCTCCCAGCTGTCCATCGGCAGGCATGAAGAGAGGACAGACAAAGAGACAGTGAAGTCAGACGCTCCTTCTACACTGTCACCTGAGTGAAGCATGGGACTGAGGTGCTGGGGCCTGCAGAGTTGGGCAGGATCTCCTGCCAAACCCAGATCTCCAAGGCCCACTGGCTGCTCTGAGTCTCTGTGGAGTTCCTTGGCCTTCAGTGTAGCTCAAACCCTCTCGATCTAATTTCTGACCCATTTGCCACCTCAAGCTGTGAAAGACTGTGCCCCACGGGGTTTATTTGTGACTTTTCATTTGTTCCTTAAATGTCACAGACCCAAGCTTATGAGGTTTCCACACTGTGGCCCAGGGGAGACCAATGACTCTCAAAGGTCACCTCTCAAGTTCATGGCAGAGTCAATGCTGTAGCCTAGGCCTGTCTGACACTGAACTACTCCATGGACAAGCTTTGAAGGTGATGCTGAGCTCACAGTGGCCATGCTAGGGGCAGGGTTTGCTCAGTGAGCCCCCATTCTTAAATATGTGCCCCAAAGCCTCTCACTGATGTCTTTGTGTGGCCCATCTCTCTTTGTGCCTTGCTTATCTTGGGACAGAAACTCCTTAGGCCAGAGCAGGGGCCATGTCTGCTGTTTATTAGCTGTGTGGCTTTAAGTGGCTGACTCTTTCTGAGCCTCAGCACCTTCGTATTTAACCAGATGCTCGAATTCCTGTCTCACACAGCACCCTCAGCAGAGCAGTTACGGCAGATTTCAGTGGGCAAGACACTCCATTTCTCCTGAGTATGGACAGTATTGGAAGAGGGTCTACTGTGTGCAGAACTGGTTTGACATTGACTATAGGGACTGACATTGAATCTGGGGACTAACAGGGTGTGATGTTCCTGGTAGCACAGGTGAGGGACGGCTGGTAGGCTGGGGGTGCCCTGCCAGCTCTGGGTGCTTCAGCGGGTCTGTGAGCTGTGGGGAGAGGTGGAAAGCTGGGTGAGAGCCATTGATTGGTTGGTGCATGGAATGGAGCGGGTAGAGAGACTAGAGAAGCAGGCAGGCCAGAGGAGAGGCCCACACTGGTTGCTGTCTGCTGTGCCCTAAATTTTGCCTCAGTTTCCCCACAAATTCTCCAGTAAGGTCTGCGCCTTGTATCACTGTGGGTGGTTTCGGGGTTCAATAGTCATATGCTGACAAGGGCTGACAAGGAAGGTCCAGGCATAGCCGAAATGGGCTGGAGTCCCCAGCTAGTAAAATGCCACTTTTGCATCTGTAGGCTGCCTAGCCCTAAGGTCCAGGAGGTGGATCCCAGGGAGACACAAAAAGGTATGAAAATGGACAGGCAGAAATGCAGACAGCCTGCACTGCCAACAAAGGGTCTCTTCTTCCAGGACTGTCCTGAGAGGTCAGCGGTGGTGTCTGAGATGGAGGCCTGGGTTGGTCAGGAAAGCCATGGGGGCCCAAGAAGTAGGGGAGGGGCTCAGCTACAGAAAGGGGTCGTGGGCCTGATCAGGGTCTTGGATGGTCTGTTAGCATGGGGCAGAGCCTCTGTTCCTTCATACCTAGCCCAGAGTTTGGAGGGAGAGGGGAGAACTATACTGGCCACATTCGTGTTACTTTGTTCACGGATCTTGCTAAATTTTCAAAAAGCCCGCTTTGGTGATTTATGAAGACAGGACGATGTTGAGGTTCAGAGTGATGGAATGTGCTTCCAGGCTGCAGAGCTGGGGTGCCAAAACAGCCTCCTCTGAGAAGCTTCCAACTACAAGGGTGGCCTGAACACCTCTGAGGTCACTGCTTGATTGTGGGTAGGGGTGGGGGATGAGCAGGTGCACATGCATGTGTGTGCATGTGTGTGAGTGTACACGAGTGTGCATGTGGAGGCCAGACATCAATCCCACGTGTTCTTCCTCAGGAGCCATACACATTGCTTTTGGGACAGTGTTAGGTTAGGCAAAGCCTCTGGGATGTCCCTCAGAGCTGGAGTTATGAACAAGTACCTTTTGGCTTTTTATGTGGCTTCTGGGGACTGAACTTGGGTTGTAAATGAGCCCATTTCCCTAGTCCCTTTCTAGCATATCCTTTGCCAGAGGCTGTCCCATCTCAAGCTCTGGCTGAAATGTCTACTGTGATGAGCGTGGGGTGGGAGACTCAGGAGTAGGGCAGTCAGTGCCAGTCCCAGGAAGCCTACTGGTCAGGCACTTTTGTCTGTGGGCACTCAGCCTCCTGTGGCTATTTCAGGAAGAAGGCTAGCCTTGTCATCAGCAGAGGCTAGGGACCCAGGGGAGAGCCAGGGATGACAGCTGGGGAGAGCTAGGGGAGAGCCAGGGAGAGCGAGGGACACTTACAAACACGAAGAAATTGAAAACAAACATCAGATACTTCATGCAGCTCAGACAGTCGCCCTCCATGGTTCTTCACCTAGAAAACACAAGGCCACTCAATCCTCCTGGGGACACACAGATTTCTCAGTTAGAGCCCAGTCCCAGCCCCAGCCCCAGCCCCAGCCCCAGCCAGGAGACCCAGTAACAATCCTCTTTTGAGATCTGCAACTGGACAAGACCAGCTGGAGCTTTAATCTGGGGCCTTAACTCTCATCGTCTAGTTCCCTGGCTCTGGTCTGTCACCCTCCTCTGAGGTGCATGCCACACACCACACACAGACACATTACACTCCATATACTACCACACACACAAATAGATACCAAGGAAGAGACAGTCCATGGAGTGTCAGGCCCACTGTGGTACTCACTCCACTGAGCCCACAGGACATGAGGATGAAGGTTGTGAGGACAGACCAGCCCTACCACCCTAGGGTCTCCGCCGGGTTTGTTTTAGGGTCTAGACCCCATATTCCTCGGAAATGCTGGGCTCCCTCAGGACTTGCAGAGATGGAGGATTAAAAACCTAACCCTTGATTCGGTCCTTCTTAGAAGGAGCAACAAAATACTCAAGGGAGCAAATATGGAGACAAAGTGAGGGACAGAAACTGAAGGAGGGGCCGTCTCAAGACCACTCCACCTGAGTATCTATCCCATGTGCAGTCACCAAAGGTAGATGCTGATGTGGAAGACAGGAAGTGCATGCTGATAAGAGCCTGATATGGATATCTCCTCAGAGGCCTTCAAGAGTCAGACATATTCAGAGGCAGATGCTCACAACTAGCCATTGAACTGATCATGGGGTTCTCAATAGAGGAGTTAGAGTGAAGACTGAAGGAGCTGAAAGGATTTGTGGCACCATGAGTAGAGCAACAATACCAACCAACCACAGCTCCCAGGGTCTAAACCACCAGCCTGGGAGCACTTAGGGGGGGATCCAGGGCTTCAGCTGAATATGTAAAAGTGGAGGGCCCTGCTGGGCATAGGTGGAAGAAGAGAACCTTGACCTCATGAAGGCTGGATGCCCCAGGGGGTGGGAATTTTGAGGGTGGGGAGGTGGGAGTGGGGGGGGTAGATAGAGGTTACATCCACAGAGAAGAAGGAGGAGGGGCGAGGGGATTGGGGGTTCCGAGGGGGTGGTGGGGGATGGGGTAAGGGGACAACATAGGAAATGTAAATAAATCATCCAATAAAAAAAAAATAAAAAAATAAAAAAATAAAAATAAAAACCTAACCCTTGCCGGGCAGTGGTGGCACACGCCTTTAATCCCAGCACTTGGGAGGCAGAGGCAGGCGGATTTCTGAGTTTGAGGCCAGCCTGGTCTACAGAGTGAGTTCCAGGACAGCCAGGGCTACACAGAGAAACCCTATCTCGAAAAACCAAAAGAAAAAAAAAAAAACCTAACCCTTGGAGGGTTTATTTCTCTGTATCTGGCTGGAGGCTCCATCCTGCCATCTCCTCCCTCTTGCCCAGATGCTTCTGAACACCAGAGACCTCACCGCAGCAAGCCAGGTTTGGAGAAGGCTGGGGGTTTTCACCGGGAAGCATGGCTGTAGTCAGTTGTTCTCTGACTGAGTTCTCTGAAGCCAATCAAATTCTAATTATCTTCAGAACCCCCCACAGCCCACACAGCCCAGAACTCAGCCTTTCTCTCCAGCAGGCTTAGGGGCCAGTGTCTTGGACTGGGAGAAGAAAAGTCCTCTGAGGAGACCCTGTTTTTCAAATTGCTCAGGAGTTCACTGGTCTGCGTGACTCTGCAGAACAAAGCCCCATGAGAATGATGATGTTTGATAAAGACAGGACATTGCATAGATAAAGTTCTTCAGTCTTGGCCTGGAAGTATAGAAACAAGGCCAGCATCCAGGGCCAACCTGACCTTCTGTGAACCCAGTTCTCTCACTGGGGGTTTGGGGCAGGGGAAGGGCAGCAGAGAGCAGGCTGGGAGTTGCTTCCACATGGCCCTTCCATAAGACAACCCAGGGAGACAGGAGTAACAGCCTGGACCTGTTGTCCTGGGCTTGGATGCTTATCCCAGAGATCCCCCAGCCAAGCCTCGGAGAGTCCTATGCTTACAGATACATGTCATCCAAATTACTGCTTTAAGTAGGTTGAAACCTTGGGGCTTTGAGGGGTGCTTATGTCTGACACAGTTAACAATTCTAAACTGGCGTAGGATTGGCCTGGGATATTTTACATCACTAGCACATCAGTGAAAGTCATCACTCGTTCTGAAGAGTTAAGAAGTACTAATGTAGCCAGTGACCATGCTTTGTCACCAGGCAGTGATGGGCCCCGATGGGGGAGCATATCGCTGTACATAAACCACCCACTATAGGGGCTATGTGGTTATTCAGAAGCACCAAGCCATGACCAATGTGTTCACTGAGACTTTCAGCGTCCAGGAAAGACCAACATAGTGGCAGTAGCTGACACAACTTCATGAATGAGTGAATGAATGCGTGGTGGGAAAGAGACAAGAGACAAAACGGCGAGAGTAAGCAACTCAGAAATGGAGACACGTACTCAAGAGAGAAACTGGAGGGGACAGATGATAGAGAGTGAGCAAGGAAGGCTGCAGGAAAGGACATAGATTGGACAGAGTCGGAGTAGGGGACAGTGACAGGAGACAGAAGCCTTACCTGGGCAGCTCTCCAGGAGTTGACAGGATGAAGTCTCCTAGTTAGAGGAACTCAGGTATGTCTCTCAGCAACACAGCTTGTCCTAGAAGAGAAAGTTTACCATGACAGGATGTTGGGCATTAGGACACAGTGAGTGCAGGGCTCCTGATGTGTACCCAGGCAATGGCTTGCTAACTGGCCCATGCACTAAAGAAGAGCTGCTGAGACTCTGTGCCATGCTACCTGGGGAGGGCCGCACTGGTTATCCCCTGATCACACAGCAGTCCCCTGTACTCTGCTGGCTGCACAGGAGCTGTCGTCATCAATGCTACTCTGAGACTAACATGCGGACATTAGACTAAGAGGAGGTGGCAGACTTGGGTGGCTACCCGTCTGATGCCATCTCTGCAGCAGGGCCATGCCACCAAGTCCTTCCCAGCAACGCAGGCTCCCCTTAGGGAGAAATTTGATGCAGGGAGCCTTTCTTGGTTCTGCATTAAGATTCGCTATAAGGTTCCTTGAGAGAGCCAGATCCCAGCAGGGCAAAAGGAAGCTGGGCTTACTCTGTGGAGGCTTGTGTTGATCACACCTGTGAGGATTTCTACAGCCCAGACCTGCTTACAGACCCAGGAGGAGATCTGTATTTTGCCTACAGAACTGGAGTCAAGAGTGGACCCCCTCAGAGCTGAGGAAACGGAGGCTTAGAGATGATGTCAGGGATGCCTGCTTAGTAAGGTATTTCAGATCCAGATGCTGGTAATTTAACTGAAAAACAGAGTTCCAGGAAAGACGGTGTCCATGGAACACAGAAGCAGATGCAGCCCCTGAGAGAAGAAGAGCCATGCCTTGGTCCCCAATACCTCTGACCTGAGCTAAGTAGCTGAGCACAGAGCCTGGGAAAGCTGCTCAAATCCTCCCCCGAGTCAGCTGGAGACTAAAGGGGCAGGACCAGGCCCTGCCATCCCCTGACAGATGGGAGCCCCTGGACCCAGAGAGGGCAGGAATGGGGCTGAGGTTAGGCAGCGCCCTGGGGCTTTCCTCAGCAGGCTCCCGCCTGGGCCAGACAGCTTTATTAATCTTGCCCCTCTCATGGCCCCAGATGGCAGCTTGGCCCATCTGCAGGGATGTGGGGCTAGGAGGGGTAAGAAGAATAGCTGGGTTCATAAATCACTCCTTCTGCCTTCAGTGCCCCAGAGCAGGATGGAAAGGTGGTCTGAGGACTCACATCCAGGCCCAGCTTGTCTTGCATACACTGGTGCCAGCAGAGGGTGCTGTGGTCCTGGGTGGAGCCGCTGCTGGGTCCCAGTGCAACTAGTGTTTAGATTCTACTCCAAGGAGCTGAGGATGGTTGTGTCTCCTGTCTCCTCTCCTCTGGGGGGCCTGCACCTCTCACCTGGAACAAGAGTATGCTTATCTCCAACTCCCTACCCCCTGCCATTGGTCACTGCCAGGATGGAAGAGGCTGATTAGCTGCAAACACTTACAGTGCATTCATTTCCTTGTCATTCTTCTCCCAGCATCTACAGAACCAACCCTGGGTTTGGTCCAGCGGAGGCTAGAGGCTGTGTTCTTTCTCCGCTGCCACCACTACTAGTGAAGACCAATAACCCAATCCCAAGTATTAACAGCCACGTCCTCAGACTGCCTGGGCAAGCCAGGCAGGACACAGAATAAAGTGCATCAGCCCAGCATGTCTGGAGGGGCCTGGAGATCTTGAGTTGGGGTGGCGGGGAGGGACTGACTTTTTAAAATGTGAACTGTTGATGATGCTAGGGCCTGTAAGCTCACTTGATCCTCCAAAGGCTCAGTAAAAGTTCATGGTGTTATCACTATGGTAGGCAGGATGAAGCCACAAAGGCTGCAAATGGCTAGAAAGTCCCAGAAATGGATAAAACGATACCCGGCTGAGATGGGGACTTAAACCCGCACTAACGTGTAAGGCACTTGCGAGCACAGCACCAGTTCAGGCCATTGAGTTCTGGATAGTGGGTGGGGAGGGCTCTTTGGCTTACTGGCTGGCTGTGCCTCTGGGCCTCTTCCCAAGACAGACGGGCTGGGCTCATAAACAAGCAATTGGCTTGAAATCCTGGGGAGTCTGCCCATGGCACAGGGCAGACACAGTGAAAGGGGAGGGGATGAAAGCCTAATTAGGCTCCAGAGGGGCAGTGCCTGAGGGGAGGGCCACTGTAGTGAAACTGAATTCAAAGGACAGCCTTCCCTGCTGGGTGCTCACTGAGCCGTGAATATCCAGGGCTGCAGGGCAAGGCAGCATCTGGGAGGCCCCAATTCAAGTTTGTAAGCCTAGCCAGGTTTGGGGCTCTAGCTCTGCCATGGGCCCCCTGTTGCATTCAGACACTTCCCAGGGCTCCTCTCACCAGAGAATCCTCAAAGACAGAAACGAGGTGGGGACTGTCTCAAACTCCTCATTTCACAAGCCACACACATGTCCAGAACCACAAGCTCCGCCAGCCTGTGCTGCCGACCCTTTACCCTGTGATCCTCAGAAGGTTCTCTGCCTTCGGTTGACTAGCAAAAGCACTTGGCACTCTGACCTCGTTGGGTTGTCTACACAGGGAGGTGGCATCCCTGTGTCTCAGATGAAGACATGGTGTCATTAGACCAAACACACTACAGGTTGGTGGAGCTGCTGAGACAGAAGTTCTTTCCCCCAGATCAAGTCATCCAGGGACAGCCAGCCCACTGAACTAACTCCGGGTAGCTCTGAGTGCTGGGATGCATTTCAGCTGCAGAAGCCCTGGTCTCAGGCCTTGCTCAGCAGGCCCTCTGCCTCACAGAGGCTTCCTCTCACCCTCATCTGCTCTCCCTTTCTGTCTTTCTCTCAGAGCCTGAGTTGGAACGAGACCCTTTGAAAGGCTTAGTGATCCATCCCAAAATACTTAGTGCTGTTGCTGGGGCAACCTGGCCTATCACACAGCCACGATTGAAATGGTGAATGGGTTCACGGGTATTAAGGGGGCCTGGGAACTGGGAGGGCAGGGGCACAGGTCTGACAGGGGAGAGGGCGCATAGGGGACCCCAGGAATTCCTGATGGAGCTGTCTCCCAGCCCCCACAGGAAAAGGATCTTGGTCATCGCTGTGATGTGTCTGACAGGCTTAAACAGGTGACACGGGGAAGTCAGGCAGAGGGAGAGAACTTGCGCTAAGAGAACTTGGTGGGGTGGGCTAAGGGGGTGTCCTGAAGGAATCTCTCCATTCACAGGTGGGAAACAGAAACTGCATTTCCCTGGCTGTGTCTCATCCGAGTCTTACCATAACCCCACAGAGCAGGTTTATCATCATCCCTGACAGCCGAGGAGCCGATCAGAGAAGTGAAGTAACCTGCCCAAAGCCACACAGCTGCCAAGCAGCAGACTGCAAGCCTGTGCTCTCTGTATCCAGCCTGCCTGTCAGCTCCCTTTCACAGATGGGGAAATTGAGGTATCAATTACCACCGTCTCTAAACAGCCAATGGATGTTAAAGACCTTCCAAGAGGACAGCTTCACTCTCATGCCTCTTCAGGTGGGGAAGTTCTTTCTGGTATCTAACCACATTCACACCTGCTTTAGCTCAATCACAGCTCAACCCCGCACCAATCTGTTTGCCTGACAACCCCTGGGACCTTCATTTTATGCTCTCACTTGATTCTTACGATACCCAGGCAGGGAGAGGTGACTGTTTTATAGGGAGAGGGGACCAGAGAGGTTAAGGATCCCGCCTTAAGTGGCACAGCTACATCTGACCTGCTTGCTTTAGCTCAGGCCCCTGGCCTTCAGTTTTCCTGCCACTGTGATGTCTTGGTTCCTTCATCCTGGACCCATCACTGTTCTGTCATCTTCACTGTCTGCCTCTCTGTACTGAGTCTCACCTCCTCTTACCTGAACTGCTGGGAAACTCAGATTCCAGGGTTAGGGATGGCTCTCTCCATAGCTGGCTTCCCACAGACCAGGGCCAGGACCACCTTAGTAGCAGAAGCAGAACTCAGGCTCCGGGGCTCCCAGGATGGCAAATGCAGGAGGTGGGGGCCTCCAGTGCAGCCACCTCCGTTCTCACATGACCCAAGGGGCTGCCCAATGATGCAAGCCTAATACCTGAGTTAGCTCCCTGAAAACTACATGAAGGTAGAGAGAAGTGGCTCCACAACACTGCTCTGTAACTCCACGTGATGGCTACGGCATGTACACGCCTGGCACATAATAATAATAACAATAATAATTAATAAAATAAATTTTAAAATGAAAAGGAACAGCTCAGCTACTCCCTGGAGTCCTCAAGAAAGACGTGTGGGATGGATGGGTGGGGGAGGGTGGGAAGGAGACAGACGGGCTGGTCACCATTTCCAATCCACTCAGAGATGGGGAAGATGCTGGCTATTCCAGACAGAGCTCTAGCTGGGCCTCCTACTTCATCCTGGCTTTTATCCAACATGCACGGGACCAGAGACAGTCCAGATTTCTGAGTTACTCAGGGTTTGGATTATTTGAATATCCCTAACCCCAAATTCATGAGTGTCACATGACCTCTCCAGGAGCTTCATGCTTCAGATTTTCAGATGGGGAAGTAGGGCCCAGAGACAGTGACTGCCACCACCGCCACCATTTCCTTGGGTTCTCGGTGTGTGCATCTGGAGAACTGACAGAGGTCCCTACCTGGCTCCATCTCGTACCGCGGCAGTGGGGAGGAGGTAAGGGAATGGACAGGGAGGTACTTGAAGGGAACAAGAGAGGTGGGGCCAAAGCTTGTGAGGTGATGATGTCCCACACTTGATGGCAAGACACACTTGAGACTCTGTTGCTATCTGGTTTGGGCCACAGCCTATCAGCCCTGCCAGAGAATGCCATCACAGAGGGCTGGAGTGGAGCAAGGTGGGCCTGGCTCTGTGGTAGTCTAGCCTCAGAGAAAGACTGAGCAGGAGTTGGGGCTGTACCAGTGGTCTTCTAATTTTAAGAAACAACAAGAGACTCAGTTTGAACAAAAGGATTAAACATGAGTGTAGGAAAGGAGACTGAGGTAGTAATGGTGGTGTCAACAGTGAGAGGAGGGGACATACGTACTTACTAAAGGCACGATGTCAACATTGCATCTAGTAGTTCATTTAATTCCT